ACAGACATAAAGTCAGTAATTTCAAAATTCTTTGGAGGCAGATAATTCTTCTCACTATATCTCCACAGTACAGTAGTAACAAAATTATGAGTGAGAGACATAATTACATTTGCTTGGAGTAAAAGAACTAAGATTGCCATCATGGTAATATCTGTTTTAAAACCAACAATGATTTCAAATTTTAAAAAATTTAATTAGAACAAAATAATTAGTGTGGAATTAATAATTTAATTCCCTAGTACTAGGGGATTGGGCCCAGAGGTGCTCCACCTTTGAGCTATATCCCCAGATCTTTATTCTGTATTTGGAGACGGGGTCTCACTAAACTACCCAGGCAGGGCTTAAACTTGCACTCTTCCTGCCTTAACCTCCCCGTGCGCTGGAATTACAGGTGTATGCCAACACGCCCAGCTAATAATTTAGTTTGCAAAGTAAAATGTTAGTATCTATTAGGAAATAAGTAAAGAGCAAGGCACTGCTTTCAAACAAAACAAACCCATTTGTCATGAGGAAAAAGAAAGCACAAATCAAAATTTCATTTTCCCAAAAACTAAAATAAAACTTTTTAGACCCATGCCTTAATTGTATATACAGAGCCAAAAGAACTCACTGATCTGGTAGAATTAATTCCTCCTATTCTCCGTCACATTGGTGAATGCTAATGCAAACCACTGCGACATGCTCAGAACTCAGGCGTGAGCACTGCAGGGTAGAGCCCTGCGCTCTTCTCAGCGTGCACCGTTCCTCCACTGTGCCAAACACTAGAACCTGACATTGGGGAAAACAATCCATTTGTCTTCTGGACAGAAATCCACCCCATGACAAGTTGGTAAATGACATGAGTACCTATATGCACTGTGTTTTATATACATTATACTAATAAACATACTAATTCCAAAATGTTCACAAATGTAAATTTTCTCTACCTTAATAAACAAAAAAAAAGTATGCATGCATAAATTGTAATTTCACTGTTGGAAACACTGCCAAGTAGACAATCATGTCAGTAACAGACAGCATGAACACAAAAGCTGAATACAATTGAGAGAACCATTCTATTTATTTAGCTATTCTTTTTTGGCTACATACTATTCTAAAAGTGCATTTGGAAGTCAAGAGTGATGGTACATGCCTGTGATCTCAGCACTCTGGAGGCTGAGGCAGGAGGATGCCCAGAAGTTTCAGGCTAGCCTGGATATAGCCTGGTCTACCCTGTCTCAAAGAAAACAAAACATCCTATTTTGAAGATATATCACAGCCCAACTTGTATAAGATATACTCATTTAACATAAAAGAGAAAGTTTATAATTATTTTAAAAGACTTTGTCTCTTAAAGAGGTATTGACTTTTAGTACTGGTAGTATTTGAAGTTCTAGTGCTTTTTCAACATTGTTAGCTGAAAATTGCTTTGCCTAGTCTTACTATGGAACAGTTGTTAAGAGAGTTTAAAACTCATCTGCCTTGCTTTAGTAATAGTGCAAAAAAGACTTGGCTTTGCAGATTGTTTTTGTTTTTTGACATATGCTCTCAACTGTAAAATCCAGTCTGTCTGTCCAGGCTGTCTTTCAATTCACTATGTAGCTGTCTGTCTGTCCAGGCTAGTCTGGAACTTGTAGCAATCTTCCTGCATCAGCCTCCTAAGTGCTGGAATTATTGATGTACACCACCACTCCTAACTTAAGAAAATGACTTAAAAGCTCAAAAATAAGTGGAGGAGCTGGGGAAATAGCGCAGAAGTCTAAGCACCTGCCCGACAAGTGCAAGGACCCGGGTTTGATCCCCCGTGCCGCATACCGTGCTGGCCCAGGGACCCAGCATGCCATACCAGCCACCAAAACCAGGTATGGTGGCACACACCTGCAATCCCAGCACTGGGGACGCTGAGAGAGTAGGATCACTATAAGTCCAAGCTGTGTTATGAGACTCTATACCAGATAGATAGATAGATAGACAGACAGATGATTATTAAAAGGTAAGCAAAAATAGCAAAGTATAAAATAATCTATATACTATAGGCATACTTTCATGTAAGAAAGGGAGAAAATAAGGACACAAATTTCTACTTATTCTACTTATGCATAAAGGACACATTACACTAATAACCATACAGTAACCAGAGTTGGGGTGTAAAAGAAAGACACGTAACAGGAAAAAGTAAGAATTCTTAATATGTACATTTTATTATCTTGATTTCAGAACCACATAATTATTCATTCCCCAAAATTAACATGAAATATACAGATTTTTGAGTGCCGACCTATCCACATTTACTATGATTCAATTATAATCTTCTTGAGAAAACATTCTACCTTCTTAAACAGTCTACTGTCACAGTCTAGACTGTAACATACGGGCAATTAGCCTCAGAAACAATTCTCTACAACCTGGGTATAGTAATAAGTTTCACAGTCTTGTTTCACGTAATGTCCTCAGAATTTTTGTACTGCTGATCACAACTTAGAAATAATAGAAGGTAAAACATATGCTCAGTCTTTCCCTGGATAAATACTGTAAGTAGATCAGAAACTAAAACATGCCAAACTGCTGATATTCTTAGTACTTCTAAAACATCTTAACAGAACATGTAAAGTCAAATCTCAATTTAACTAATGTGCTATAACGGTAGCAATGTAAGAAATGATTTTTTTTTCCTAGCAATCACATAAATATCCAACAATTAAACCAGTGTTCTCCACATTTCTGGGATGTTTCTCTCAACACTCATTTTGATCCCTGAAGCCATTTTCAGTATCTACCTTTTCTTTGTACCAAAACTACTATGACATTGTATGAAGCCATAAGATAAAGAAATGAAAACTATTGCTGTGTATTTTGCAAAAAACGTTTTGGTCCATTCACTAGTTTTAAACTCAAAAACAAGCATCTTTTCAAGGCACCACTAGTAAAAAAATTTCTACATTCAAATGCTTAAAAGATTCATAATAGCACTGAAATGAATAGTAAGGCAGATTTCCTGTATGATATACCAAAATCATTCATTATTTCAAAGGCACATTACAGGAAGTTATTTTAAGATGTAAATCTGCTTATGTCACTCGTTCATTCATTCATTCATCTAATGAAATACCCACTTCCAGGAAATTGTGTAGTATGACAGGACAAGAACATTGTACAGCCATAATCAAGGGTATCAGGAAAGTACCAAGTTTTAGGCCACCAGGAAATATGTTTATTTACATAGTATTCCTTCATACAAAATTTCCACTATTTAAGTATAGTGAATTTTATGTTAATTATCAATTAATTGATATAAAAAGAAATTTAGCTATTACACTCAATTTCCCCTTTGATGGGTGAATAGTGAAATAAACCTTAGTATAGCAACATGATAGAGTACTACTCAGTAATAAAAAGAACAGAATGTTAATACACAACTTGAATGAATTTTCTGTAAAATAATGCTGAATAAAAAAGCCAATAATACCACAAGGCTATGTACTATGTAGTTTCACTTACAGACTATTCTAGAGATTACAAAATTACAGAAATGGAGAACATGAAATCCCGCTCTGTATTAGTTCCTACAATTACATATCATACAAGAATTATCTCAGAATAAAAATGTAATGATACAATCATGTCTCACCAGGTAGCTTAATCATTGTGCAAACATCCTGGAGTATGCTTACATAACTACGACAGCTACAATATCACTACACCAAGAAATCTTACACAGGATCTCCATTATTATGTGATCCATCCTTGGCTGAAATGGCATTATTTTGTTCATAACTATTAACCTAAAAACCTGGACGGATGGATGGATGGATGGATGGATGGATGGATGGATGGACGGACGGACGGACGGACGGACGGACGGATGGATGGACGGATGGATGGATGCATGGATGCATGGATGCATGGATGCATGGATGGATGGATGCATGGATGCATGGATGCATGGATGCATAGATGGATGGATGGATGGATGGATGGATGGATGGATGGATGGATGGATGCATGGATGCATGGATGCATGGATGCATGGATGCATGGATGGATGGATGGATGGATGGATGGATGGATGCATGGATGGATGGATGGATGGATGGATGGATGGATGGATGGATGCATGCATGCATGCATGCATGCATGCATGGAAGGATGGATGCATGGATGCATGCATGGATGCATGCATGGATGGATGGATGGACGGACGGATGCATGCATGGATGGATGGATGGATGGACGGACGGACGGACGGACGGACGGACGCATGGATGGATGGATGGATGGATGGATGGATGGATGGATGGATGGACGGACGGACGGACGGACGGATGGATGGAAGGATGGATGCATGGATGCATGGATGGATGGATGCATGCATGGATGGATGGATGGATGGATGGATGGACGGACGGACGGACGGACGGACGGACGCACGCACGCACGCACGCACGGACGGACGGACGGATGGATGGATGGACGGATGCATGCATGCATGGTTGGATGGATGGATGGATGGATGGATGGATGGATGGATGCATGGATGCATGGATGCATGGATGCATGGATGCATGGATGCATGGATGGATCGATGGATGTATGCATGGATGGATGGATGGATGGATGCATGCATGCATGGATGGATGGATGGATGGATGGATGGATGGATGGATGGATGCATGGATGCATGGATGGATGGATGGATGCATGGACCAACCCACCGACCAACCGACTGACCAGGACTCAAACTCATGACTTTGCACTTGCCAGGCAGGTACTTAATTAAGCCACTGAGCTATCTCTCCAGCCAAAACTTTTTAGTATTATTTGAATCATTTCAGACCAAAAGCAGAATAGGTGATAAACTATCTTATAAATCAGTCAGCAATATAAAGACTCCCCCAGGAAAAACTAAAACAACAGACACAGAAAACAATAAAAAAGTATAATGTCATCTACTAATGAATACTTAGATATATTTAGTGACATAGTAAATTTCATTCAGTATTAATTCAAGATGGAAAACTTACCCGATGCTTTGCCTTAATTTTCTTCCTATACTCTTCTTTGTCAAATTTGTCCTCTTCCTGAAGCCTTTCCTTTGCTTTATCTAAGTTGATACCACCAGAGTCATCATCTTCCACTGGGTCCTTGGTGGCAGATTTCTGCATTTGCGGCCACTGCTGAACCAACTACAGCCAAAAAAAAAGGTAGGTGTTAGGTGGGGAGTGGAACAGCCACAGAAATTCCTCTTGTGTAACAACTTTAAATGGTGCATAGCCCTATTTTCTGCCTTATATCCTCTATTTCTAAAAACTTGCCCACAGACCTGATAATTAAAATGAGCAAGGTGCAGAAAAGACAATCCAAGTCAGCATAAAGTAACGTCAGTAACCTGATGAGAATGTGACTAAAGCAAAATTTCTCAAAATTATTAGAAGGTAGAAGAAAAATGCTTCTGTGGTGCTGTTAATAACATACTCTCCCCATGACTCAGCTCAAAATCCCCTGCACGGAGCAAGACCCTGGCTGACTAGCACATGCCTCCTTTGGGCTTCCAAGGCACCAGTACAATGCCTAACACATCTTAGCACACCATGCTGGTTACTTTCTTATTTCTGTAACTAGAACAAATCTCCTTGAAGGCAATTCTATGGTTTTTTTTTTTTTTCATTTATCCTCTGAGCTTATAATGTGCAGAATATAGTAAATAAGTACTTAAGTTTGATGAACAAATCTCGTATCAGTCAATATTGCTTATAAGGAATGAAATAGTGAAATGTAAAGAGAAAATACACACATATGCACATGACTCTGCATACATGGCTTGTGGATAGGAACAAGGTAACAGGGCACTGAGAGCCAGGGGATCTGGCCACATGCCCTGGCTTTTTCACTAGGGTCCTGTACAACAGTGAATAAAGTACTTATTCTCTGAACACCTGTGTCCTTTCCAGAAAAATAAAGAGCATTGACTCAATGATTTCTAGCAGTACTTTAAAAATATAAAACTTTTCACTGGTGGCCACAATGATGTCAATACATGCCAGTATTTTGAAAGACTATTCTTCAAGGCACAGAGACTGGAGGCACATGCATTCTTGCCCCCTCTCATCCTTGGAGCCACCACACTCATTCTGCAAAGTGAGATCTGGACAGTCTCAACTTTGGGGGCAACAAACATTACTATATAAGAAGGAATGCTATCAGTCACCAATCTATTACTTAAAAAGAAAATGATTATCATGCAACATAATGAACTTTCCTAAGAAATCTGCAATAACCCCTTCTCTAAGATATATGTATGCATTTATAATCAGAACGAGGTAAAAACAAGATGGAAACAAGGCACCCATGGTCTGGGACTACTTAGAAGTAGAACAATGCCCCATAACTAGCCCAGGGAGAATCAGACACAGAGCATCCACCACTGAGGAGAGGACGGGAAGACTTCCAGATCAAGCAAAATACACTCTGCCAAGTAGTTATGTTAGTATGCTTGTGTTTGCTACCACAGAATATGGTAACAGCAAGATAAGAAAATATTAACAAAAACATGGAATTTTAAAAGTTCTAAATAATCTGTGTTGGTATCATCAAGAAGTTTAGTTTACTGCTAGTAAGGCTGCCTTGCCCATAACTGCTGACCTGAAAGGCCGCAGTAGCAGTGAAAGTGGCCCAGCATACTGTAGAGAAACACTTCTTTTCTAAATAAAAAATGTCAGTCAGCAGGAAAGTCAAGTTTCATAATACTGAAAATGTTCCTCACAAGGGAAGTATTTACTTTATCTTACCTCTCCATCATCAGTAAATGTTATTTTTTTATTCACTTTAAAATTTCTCTTCATTATTTTTTTTGCTTCTGCAACTTTTGTTACTTTTTTCTTGATACCAGATTTAGAAGATTCTTTCTTCTGTAGGAAAATAAACAAAACAGAGATGATTAGAACAATGGGTGCTTTATACTTATTAAACTCTGGCAATATGCTTTCTCAAAATCAGTGTATTTACAGCTCACCGGTAACAAGAAGCATCAAAAACATTGTCCCAAAATAAATTAGACTTATGAATAATGACTTTTGCAATGGTAAAGGGGTTTGAAAGTGAATCTGATGTGCATTGGACATAAATAGTAAGTAACACTTTCTTCTATTGATAGAGCTATGCTACTGGAAAATGGTGGAACACCACAAACCACATGATAATATAATAGATGGATATAAGCTAAGGCTATCGCATAGCTAAAATATAAAACATTGTTTTTAATTCCCAAGTGCAAACTTGGATTCCTAGACTAGGAAAATGTATACTTGGAAACAACAACACTTAATTTCTTATTCAATATTCTTCCACTAAAATCAATAATTTACGAACACTGAAAAGCATCCTAAGACAATTAAGCTACATCCAAAGACAAGATGGACTAATGGTACCTAACAGGATACGCTGATCAAGACCCAGCTAATGCCTTTAAAAAAAAAAAAAAAAAAAATTAAAAATTAAAAGCTTCCACTTTTTTTTTTGGTGGCACCAGGGATTGAACTCAGGACCCTGCACTTGCCAGGCAAGCACTTATTCCACCGAGGGGTCTCTCCAGCCCTGCTACTGCTTATTTAAATTTATGTATTTGATACAAGGTCTCGCTATGCAGCTTGGACTTAAAGTTATCCTCCTGTCTCAGCCTCCCAGCACTGGGATTATAGGCGTGGGCTACCATGCCAGTTTAGTGGCTGGCTGGGCAGGGCCTGGGCAGGCTGGCACAGCAAGCAGTACCAAGGATCAAACCTGGGTCCTTGCAATTGCCAGGCAGGAGTTTAGACCACTAAGCTATTTCCCCAACCCCACTACTGCTTATTTATACTAAGTGAATGCTGCTGAGCTACTCAGGTAAGTTGAAGAGACTATAGCACAACCTGCTTGGAGGGGAGGGTGACAAACCATTCCTATTTCCTAAGTATTTGGGTTATCCTCTTCAAACGTGAGCCAGTAATATTACTGCAAGTATTTTGCTAACTTATCTAATTCAGCTTCCATTAAACTCATACAGAATAAGTAGAAGTTCTCAGCATATAAATTAAGAAAATTAATTTTTGGCCAAGTTCTTCCATTCTGGAGTACATGAGAGTAACTTATCTAAGCTCTGTGCTTCAGCTATATATTGAGAGTATTAATAGTCTGTACTTTGTGGGATTATTGGGAAGATTAAATAGTAAATAAAAACATGCAAAGATGTAGGAATAAAACTGTTTTATGTTTTTATTAGCAAATGATGATCATATTCTTTGCAGGGAGTTGGCACATGTACATGAAACATTTTAATTGTTTTCCATTCTCTTCTCAACTCCTCCTCTTCTTCAATCTCTTAGTCTTTTTTCCTTTTTTAACAAGAACGATTTCCTATTTCCTTTGATTCTGTACTTTATTCATACTCCAGGTTTTTCATATAAGAGAAACCATGCAATATACAAGCTTGTGTGTCTGATTTATTTCATTGAACATTATGGTCTCAAGGTGTATTTATCTTCAGATAGATGACTCAAGTTTCTACTGCTTTATATCAATGTAGTCCTTGGCCCGGCCAAATAGCTCAGTGGATTAAAGTGCCTGCAAGCAAGTGCAGGGGCCGGGGTTCAATCCCTGGGACTGCCATGCTGGCCCTGCCCCCAGGACACGCTGAGAGGGAGATTGAGACTGGGCGTGGTGGCTCACACCTGTAATCCCAGCACTTGGGAGGCTATAAATAGGAGAATCACTGTGAGTCTGATCTAGGAGTGAGAACCTGAACACCCTATAGACCCTTTCCTAAAATACAAAAAATAAATAAAGTAGTCCTTCATTGTGTATAAATACTACATTTCTTTACCCATTCATGTTAATGAATATAAACCATATCCAAGATTTATTATGAATTATGCTGTTATAAACATTGGTATGTATCACTATGATATGATGTCTTTATCTTTAACTCTTTCAGAAAGATACCTAGAAGGGGAATATCTGGGTCTAACAGAATTTCTACTTTTTGCTTTTTGAGGACTTCCCATAAGAATTCCATGAAGGTTGTATTCATTTATGTCTCTATCAATAATGTTGAAAGGTTCATTTTTTCCCTCGACTCTCATCAGCATTGTTATTTGATTTTTTATGATAACTATTCTTTATAGAGTAATATAGAATCCCAGTGTTTTAATTTTTATCTCTTTAATGGCCAGAGATGTTGAAAGAATTTTTCCATTTATTTATTGGCCATTTGAACTTTTTCACTACCATTATTCTATATAATTTTATGCTGCCTGAAGAGATATGTCAATTGTATAAAGGCTTACTTCACAAAATAACACAAACTGTGAGCTTTTTTTAAACTCTGTAGTACAAGGGAACAGGTAATCAATGAAAAGTGAAAAAGAAGAATTGATCTAATAAGTTATTAGAAATTTTCAGAAGACATACATTGGTTACAATCAGTTATAATACGGTGATAAATATGCATGAAAAAGAACAATTCATTTAATAAGTAGACATTGCTAATGGAGAACACATAAAAGCTTAAAAAGAAAATCATAAAATTAAAAATAACCACCTTATTAAAATAATTTATGGCAAGTTATTAATGTACTATCTTTTTATATAATAATCAGGATTTTTATAAACATCAGCTAATATGTCTGTCAATTTTATAATTTAAGTACAAGGAAGCTTTTTGACACTCATGGTTCTCAAATGTGTGCATTACTAATAATTGTGCTTTTTAAAAAAATTTCTGCTTAATAAATTAAAACTTTATCATTTAATAACATTTACTTATTTCTCTTACCACAAAGTAACCTACATTTAAAAAGATACTCTCTAACTCCTCATGTGTAAAATAATAATAAAATAATTAGGCTTGAGCATCTCGAAAAAAAAACACTATCTTCTTCAATCCATACAATGTTACAGAAGTTTCATCTTCCAGACACTGATGTTATTATGCTACAATCACTATACCTTCTCCGAGCCTGCTATAAAAAGAGATAAGTTTTAGATTTCTTCTTTCCAATGGACAATCCACCTCCAGCTACAACTCTCAAGTGACTTCATGAATGTTACAAACTGCTTGCACAAGGGTCTAAATTGTGGTGGCTATCAGCTTTCTGTCACTATGACGAGTACATGAAATAACCAACTTAACAATGAGAAACATGTAATTTGGTTCAGAGAATGGCTTCAGTCCACAATCGGTTGCCCTTACTGGTTTGGGTGAGGCACACCATTGTGGTGGGAACACACAGTGGAGCAAAACCACTCACTTACAGCCTGGGAGGAAAGCAGAAGTTGAAGGGACTATGGGTTAGTGGTGGCAAATCTCGGCACACGTGTATTTTTCTTTTAACACAGAGGGTGTTAATGTTTTTGTTTTTGTTTTTAAACTAAAACCTCAGTACTCAGGTTTAATTGTACTGCGGAACTCTACAATACATAAATGAGTTCGGCTGCAGTTTGGGCACTCTAAAAGACTCCTCCTCACTAGACCAGCCCCACTATTCCCTTTCAGGCAGCTCTCCTGGAGGGACACATAGACTGCCCACCAGGCCCACCAATTAAAGGTTCCATTATCGCCCAACAGTACCACTCCAGGGTCTCAAAACCTTGCCACATACACCTTAGAGGAACACATAAGATCAAACAGTACACACTAGAGCCCCAATTGGACAAAGGACTCAGCCTTTTTTACACCTAAACCTATCCATAGAAACAGATATTAAATAATTAGTAGAAAATATTAACTATTTAATCACAAATATATATTAAAGGCCTGAACAAATATAAAGGCTGAATGAGTATATGCAATAGGCTGCCTGTCGAGCTTGTTACACATGAGGAGGATCAGGTACAAAGAACTTCCTTCTGAGAGAAAAGTTTGAAGTGAGAGACAACACCCACCATTTATTGGCACATCAAAACTTAAACACTGGTGAAATCTGTTGATAGTGTTTTTTACATTTTATAAGAGGTACCTATGTTATTATTTTAATATTAGTTTTAGCAGATAATATACACACATGTATTCTTTAAGGATATTCAGTTTAAAAGCAGTCTCTCTTACCCTCTTCAGCAAATTCAGTTTCCCTTCTAAGAAATAGGCATGATTACCAGCTTTTGTATTCTTTCATAGATCATTTCATACATATATATATATATATATATCTGTAACAGTCACTAATACAGCTACCTCCTGAAATGCCTGGCTTATACATATAAATATGCTTTATTTATATGTATAAGTTTCTAAAGCAAAAGTACTAAACAAGGATGAGTTTCTAAAAGCAAAAGTACTAAACAAGGATGACATTTACATTTTGAATGATATTCCCAAATAACTCTTTAAAATGATTATACAAATTAATACTCCCACCAAAAATGTAAGGAATTTATTTTTTTACCCCCATTCCAGCATGGCATTAAATGTTTATGGTTGCCAGTCAAGTACATGAATAGTTACATTTGTTTTATTTTATCTGTATGACAGAACATCTATTCAAAGGCATTATTTTTCTGTGCATACTATCTATTCTTTGTATTTCTAATGAATCATGACATTTTATCAATTAATACTATATCTTTATTTGGTAAGATGCTTCACTATATTCCTGTATTTTATCATTTATGTTTAGACGTGTGCCATATAAGGTAATTTTCTGTTGTTTTTCTTTGATTTTTGCCAAGCATAGATTCTGAAATTTTAGGCAATTCATTTTACCACTTTTTAAATTTTATCTGGATTTTGGCTATACTTTATAAATACTTTTCCAACTAAAAGAATTTTCAATTCTTAAAATTCAAAGGTTTTCTATTTAGCAGTTTTAACAATGGCTCCTGGGCAAGAAATGTATTAATACTTTATATATCTGTTCATTAAGGCATGACAAATAAA